TGCCACAACAACTGTTTTTCTGCATATAAAAGCCAGGACTGGCATTAGGGGAAAGCAAGAAGGGCAGTTGCCTGGGGCCCCACACCACAAGAGGCCCCGTGAAGCTAAGCTGCTCGAGTTTTGACTTCAGCCCCGGGTGGTGGGGTGAGGGCAATGTGGGCTTTCTGCCCTTGGCCCCAATGAGTCTAATGCCAACCCTGTTTGTTGGGCACCCTGAAACCTGCTTGTGGACCCCCATGGGGCTGTGGACCCTTGGTTGAGAACTGCTACCTTAGCAACACTCTGGCTCCTTCTTGGCATGTACACTTTTTGCTTCAAAGAACAGCTGAAATCAGTCAGCAGTAGAACCTTTTACTGTAATAGATTTAAACTTCCTCTCCTGGAAATTGCACTTGTTTTTGACTGTCCCTTCTGCCCAAAAAAGAGGCGAGACTACAAGCAGAGTTGTCTCCTCTTCCACTCAGAAAACAGTTTACGTTTACCCTCCCTTTTTTTCCTTCTTACCAAAAAACTGTTTGTGCTTTAATGTCAGTTACATAATTAAAATGAAAACCTCTGTTTTTGCTAGGAATAGAGGTTCCAATTGGCCCTTCTCCAGCTGATTAAGAAGTTAACTGGGTTAATGGTGGGAAGGAAAGAATCCAGGTTCCTTCATTACACTGGAGATCAAGCTATTTATATTTGACATCCTCACGCTCCTTCCCCCTTGCAAAAGTAATACCGTGCTGGATTCTATTACCGATCTTGTTCTCCTGTGCAAGCTTCCCCTGCAAACTCTTCTCCTTTCATCTCAAAACAAGAATTGGCAGAGCTGGAGATGACTCATTTTGCATGTTTCTTGATGGCTAAACTTCAGCTTCCATGTTTACCATGTGGAGACTGGCAACCAACATAGGACTAACTGCTCCAGTGAAAATTGAGACAGCTTCTTTCCCTTGAGCAACAGCGCCAACAGTACTTCACTTCTATTAACTCACCATTTTGTGAGCCTCTCAGTAGTCCTCTGCCCCCTGAGTTCAAGCACTAGATCATTTCATAGTAAGCTGTAAATATGCAGTTGATCTCATATAGGCTGGGTGAGTCAGAGAATAATGTGTACACCTGATGGTTCAAAGCTTTGATGGTGAGAGAAGGATTTTTGGATAATTGCAGACCAGGAAATATTGATTCATCTTCTCTCAAACAAGGTTGAAATGTGGACTGACAGCCTGATGCATGCTTCCACGCAGGCTCCAGCCACCCTTCAACTGTTGTTCAGATTACGCCCTGCCTCCAGACTGGCATCACTAGGGAATCTGAGAAGGGTGCAGCACTGAACTTTCAAATTCTTATGAAGCATGAGAGAATTAGCATTGACATGAGGCTAGAGAAAATTCACCGTAAATAGCTTTTGTTGGTAACCCACCTCCTTCATAAAGCTTTTCATCAAAAATATGTACATGCTACTCTTTGTTTCTTAAATTCATTGCCATCTGTATTCATGTCTTTAGATGAGACCCGTCAGGAGCAGAGATTTGGGTTTTGTTAGGTAGAGTTTACCTGTGTTAAAGCCCCATATACATATAGTCCAGTGCCCCAGTTTTGCTTTGACATAAGGCATCTGGCATAGAGGACCAAATACTGATACCACCGAGTAGTTGAGATCAGTGATACTGTCCAGTTATTACTTGATGTTAGTAAGGGTGTTGGAATCTGGCCCTTACTGACTCTCATGCTCCTCTGGAATGAATGTGATCCCTTAATTATGTTTTGACGTAGAGTATTTTACAGTCATGATAGAGAATCAACATCTTAAACCAAGTTTCTCCTCTATTTTTGTGAGCTGTTGTCTAACCAAATTACTGACACAATAAATAATCTGAATAGTGATTCAAAGTCACTAAACAATTCAGCAAATCAGTAAAATACATCATGTCACAATTTTACTAATTATTCCCCTTTTTATTTACTTTCTTGATGATTGTCCATCACTTCTAAGAATTTGTCTTCCTGAGCACTAATCACTCTACGCTTTAAGGAAGATTTTGTGTTCTAAATCTTCTCTTTTTGTTTTTGCTGGCAGCATGCATTTGGCCATATGCTCTGCTTGTACTGGCTGCCAAATTCTTGGATTCTCAGGCTTGTTAAGCTGTGTAAAATTTTGTTGTTGACTTGAATGAGAAGAAAAGTAAGTGAATGATTGCCCTTGTTGTTATGGCCATCTGTGTGTGAGAACCAGGCCTCTCCCCTTGACAGGAACTGTTAAAACAGACCAACTACAGTGTGAGTGGAGTGTAAAATAATTATTGGTTCTAAAATATCTCCTGGCACCCACATTTCATCAGTGTAACTGTTATAGGAATGATGAAAAGTAAGGGCCAAATTCTGCTGTCCTTAACCTCAGTGGGGATCTTTCTTAAGGACTGGAGAATTTGGCTCTGAGGTATTAGGGGGTCTCGTTGAAGAGGGAGGGGAGAAAGTTGAAAAGATGGAAACTTTTTGGTGTTTAGCAAAGGGGCAGCTTTCAAACTCTTTAGGACCACTATACTCTTATATTTGAAATTGAATCCGAAATCACAGAGCAATGTAGACAGTGAGGCATCGATTAAGTCAGTAAAGACATACGGACCTGGAGTACATACTCTACATGTTCTCAACGGGCCCAAGCCCTGCCTGCCATCTAAACTGCTAGTTTTAGCAGTGTAGTGTCCTGCTGCCTCCCTCCTGCTGGAGCCTTTCCTGTCCACGGGAAACAGCTGGAAAGGCTGCCAGCTCCCTGCTGCTGGAGCCCTTTGCCACCAGAGGGAAAGTCTCCAGCAGTGGGGAAAGGCTCTGGCGGCGGGTGAGCAGCCTTTCCCTTCCCCCCCCCCCCCGAGCCTTTCCTCGCTGCAGCGAAAGTGTCTGGCAATGGGGAGTAACTAGAGCTTCCTTTCCTCTGCCGGAGCCTTTCACTGACGTGTCGCTACACACTGTAGTGTGGACATGGTGTGTTTTTCACCGTGGCTTGTAGTTAGCTAAATGTAAGCTACACACCACCGAAAATGGTGTACAGTGTAGACATAGCCATGGAGATGAAGAAAACCTTTTAGGTGGCCCCAGGGCAGGGCTGTGCCTCCATGCGCTGCCCCCACTCCAAGCGCCCCTGCAGCCAATGGGACGCTGCGGGAGTGATGCCTGGGGGCAGCAGCACGTGGAGGCCCCCCGCCCCGCCCCGCCTTGGAGCCCTGGGTAAGTGCTGCACCCCCGACCCTCTCCCAGAGCCTGCACCCCCTTCCCACACACACCCCAGCCCCCAAACTCCCTCCCAGAGTCTGCACCCCAGACTCCCACTCCCATCCAAACTCCCTCCCAGAACCCAACCTCTCACCCCTTCTGCATCCAAACTCCCTCCCAGAGCCTGCACCCCAATCCCCTACCCCAGAGTTCCTCCCCCACCCAAACTCTGTCCCAGAGCCTTAGGCAGGTGGGGGGCGGAGTTTTGGGGGGCAGGTTCTGGGCGACATGAGTGACATTATTGGCCCGCTGGGAGGATTTGAGGACTGGCACTGGCCCTAAAGTAAATTGAGTTAGAGACCCCTGCTCTAATGTATGATTATTGAGAATTGTTCTCTGTGTTTTACCTTGTGTTTTGTCGAGTTTGGTTTTGAACTTCTGCATGGATGGGGCTTTCACCACTTCCTTTGGAAGAGTATTTCATGATTTAATGATCTCACAGTGAAAAACTTTCCATGATTTTAAGTGTGATCTAGAAGAACGTGCACAGGGTTGGGAGTAAGGTGGCCCTGGGTTCTAATCCTGGCTCTGCCATTGATTCACAGTGTGTTTTTAGGGAGTCATTTCACTCTCTTTTCTCACCTGTACTTTGGGGTAATAATACTTACCTACTTTGTAGGATTGTTGGGAGGATTAATTAGTTAATGTCTGGTACAGTGCATTGAATAGATAAAATGCTAAGTATTCATTTAATGCCATTTCTCTTCTAATATGTCTACACTTCAAGCTGGCTGTGTGATTCCCAGCTTGAGGAGACATACCCACACTAGCTCTGATCAAGCGAATGTACTAAAAATACAGTGTAGGCACAGCAACATGAGCAATGGGAAGGGTATCAGCCCCGGGGTATGTGTCTATGGTCTCGGAAGGGATCATACTTGGGGCGGCCAGCCCCTCCTGATGCTCGCACTACATGGCTATGCTCTATTTTTTAGAGCGTTAGCTCAATCAGAGTGAGCATGGATGTGTCTCCTGGAGTTGGTAATCACACCCCTTGCTCAAAGGGTAGACATACTGTGACAGTAATTGTGCATCTTAAAGCTCTCAGCACAATGGGTGGGTGCCCCCTTTCCCTCCTCTGTACACAGTATTTTATGTGTTGTAATGAAACTGTACGTTGTAGAAAGAATCCTCATCATTGCCAGATAAACCGAGTGCATATAGTATGAGAGACAGCACTTTGCATCTTTGGTTCCGAAAGCTTAAGTCTCTACCACTTGTACTAAATGAGAGTCTGTTAGTTGTTGTAAAGTTATGGTTGCAGCCACAAGGTGGAGCCATAAAACTCTGGAGGAGGTTTGACATTCCAGGCAATAGAGGGCAGTGGTACACACTTAGGTCCTGATCCTGCAATAACTTATGCACATGCTTAACTTTAGATAGAGTTAGGGTGACCAGATGTCCTGATTTTATAGGGACAGTCCCGATTTTTGGGTCTCTCTCTTATATAGGCTCCTATTACCGTCCCACCCCCTGTCCCGATTTTTCACACTTGCTGTCTGGTCACCCTAGGTAGAGTTAAATATGGGTGTGTTTGCAGGATTGGGACCGTAGGCACATCAGGACAGTGTGGCGTCATTCTTATCTTCTGGAGAAGTGAAGAAATTCATAACCTATGCCTGTAAATGAAACCTGGGTATTATGTTCAGATTTCATTGACCATAATGATATGCAGTACTCAGAGTATGTGTTCAAATGTATGAAGATAACACCACACAATATTTAACCTTTTCAATGTTCTCTTTTAGCACTGCTTTAAAGGTCACTGCATCTGGTTAACTCCAGATATCTTGAAACAGGATGGAAATTGGGGAGCATGGAGTAAGTTTGGCTCCTGTTCTCGAACCTGTGGTACAGGGGTAAAATACAGGACACGGCAATGTGACAATCCACAGTAAGTTCAACATACACCAGGTTTTTTTTCTTGTATGCAGTGAGTGATTGTGGGGGAATTCCTGTTAAGTTACTGATAAAGTAATGCACCAAGGAGTATTGCACAGTGCAGGTTAAAAACAGGGTATGTCTACACTTACGGAGGCGTGTAGAGCACAGACACTGCATGCACAGCTAGCATGGGTATAAATAGCAGTATAGATGGTGACGCACAGCTTAGGTGAGTAGAGAAGAGAGCCTGATGTGCCTGAACCCCCAGGATGTACACCCTACACAGCTCTCAAAATGCCCTAGCAGTGTCTCCCACGTCTACTGTGCTATTTGTAGTGAAAGGCTCCAGCAGTGGGAGAGCTTTTCCTTGCTGCCTACCTGCTGCCGGAACCTTTCACTGTGGTGTGTAGTTACACTGTGGTGTGTACTGCACGCCACCATAAGTGTAGACATAGCCTGAGAGTCCGAACTCCTGGATTATATGCTGCCAGAATTGTTACTGACCCACTTTTTGCCCATGGGTAGATCATTTATCTTCTCTGTACCTCAGTGTACCTATCTATGAAGCTGGTTATAACAGTACAATACATTACAGGGGTCTTGAAAGCGTTATATCCATTATTAACATCAGTGGATATTGAAACAGTCCCTAAGGGATTTGTAAAAACAAAAAACCCTTGCTTC